TTTTTTTTTAATAACACAATGTACTAGCGTTAAGATACTAATCTTTTGATTTGCGTCCTCTGTACTATGTTTACAAATAGATGTTGTTGAAAAGATACCTAATTCAAGATTTGGCTTTACACAGTTTAATATAAATATATACAAGTCCTTGTACAGAATGACAGCATCTCTTACCTGGTTTATCCAAGTCGCTGAGGAACTCCTCCGTGTCGGTGTAAGCGGTAGTACGGCCGAGCGCGGCGAGCACAGCTAACCAGGCCCATAGCCGCGCGGGTTTCGCACGCAGCCCCAAACCGCGCGGCCCCATCTGACGCGGCCCCATCGCGCCCAGCGCCCCGCGCACCTCAACTGTTCATCTCACCTCACTCACGGTCTCGCGCACTACACTTACACTGTGTTCCTAACACTTTTACCCTTTACGGCATTTACCTGAAACAATAACCTTGTTTTAATTCACTTTTTTAATACGCTAACTGTTACTAATGAAATGATATTTCCCTAACACAAATAAAACACGATATAAAGCGAGAAAAAAGCTATGAATATAAGTCTATTTTGATTTTAACACGAAAACTCCATTTCGTGACTCCATTGAAAAATATTACGAGTGAGATTTCATTATTTTGAAGTTCGCGAAACGGAAGGAAATCTGACATCTTGTTTGCGTTATAAAAACGTCTCTCGAATCTTGTTTTGTAGTGGATTGAAATAGATCTTATTTAGAATTTTAATAAAAAAAAAACTTTATTCTTTATAAGTCTTCATTGTTCTTTTGTTTACTTTTATCATAAGAAAAACATAATCGAAGTAAAAAACCTTAACAATACCATTTTTACTTTAACAACACAAGGCAATTCTAAGCCTTAGTTATGGTCATTTTTTGCGGGAATTCCTCTCAACTGTTGTTCCTAAGCACTGCGGAGCAATTAAATCGATCTCGTGATACGATTTAACAGAATCTAGCATTGTATGCTTCATAAATTAAACCATCAAATTAACATCATTTTTATGATAAAAGGCGGCAAAAAAACGTCGGGAACATCAACTTGATCAACGACGACCATGGACATCTGCAACATCAAAGGCACTACAGATTTGCCTTTAAAATCTAAATCTCTTAGTTCAGATTTAAATAAAATAATGCTCTAAATGTAACATTCGGCAAAGTGACTGATAAGTTTCTATTTGAACTAGCACACATGTATTTAGCTATTGATTTTCACGAACAGAACAACCAGGGAAGTTAATTACGTAACTAGCTGGCAAACTTAACTGGAGCTGCGGCAAGTGTTGATTACTCGTAAAATACAGAATATATTCCGTTCAACATTTTACCAAAATGTACATTTCAGTTAATATTCATTTTTGTATTCGTTAAACTCACTTCGTATACTCCTGGGATAGACTACGAATTTCATTGTGAAAGGATATCCAAGCAAGCTGTTCTCATATTGTATGATACATATTGGCATTTAAAAAGAAATAACTATTAAAGAAGGAAATTCATAAGAAAATATAGCAGAAAAAAGAAGGAATAACTGTAATCGGCAACAGACAAGAAACGAATTATATTAGCTGTTGCCGTGCGACTTCATCCGCATGAAATTACGAAATCTTTATTTTATTGTTTACATTTGTCAAATATCAATTACAATTGTCAAAATGATATGACACGATGACAATCTTGCTTCCTTGATGTTGGCAGCAACTTATGGTCTCTTTCCCACATTAGGGTTTTTATTCAAAATATTTACCATCTAAGTTTAATGGCGTTAAAATGTATAGCCTAAAGCGTGACGTAAGTGTAGGGCTTTTTATTAAAAATAGAATTATTCAAAAATATCCTCTTATTGCTGACATCTTAGGCAACAAAGAAGTGTGTTTACGCTTTATTATAATAGTATAGAAGTAGAGATAATGTTATATTGAATTTGTACTAACATGGTCGGAAAGCGTGTTCAAAAGATTTGTATATATTAGCTTAGCAATAGATAGACCAATCTACAAGTCCAAATTATCTTAGCTAGATCTTGGTCATTGTCAAGAAACATATATTTTTAATAATTCCAATTGGAGTCCGCGTTGATGCACGGCAGAACGTAACCTCCAACCCACTTTGTATTCGGTGCGCACGAGGTCCCTTGTCACAGCCGTCTGTCTGTTACACTTGCCGCCTTTAGGGTCGCATATATTTTTTAAGGTTTTCCTATCGGACAGCGCAAAAAGCCTCCCTCAGGGATGTAAACTGCTATCCCTCACGCATATATTGGTATCTTAATAGATTTAGGACGGGGCTTGTCTTGGAATTAGTTATAGGGCGGATAACGAAATGTGAACGTGGAACTTGGAGGACAAATTCTTTGCATATGAAAATAAAGAAATGAGTACTGTGTAAGACTATGTTAAAGTGAATGGATAAATAATTTTGTTACGTTTGTGACAAAAAATGATCGTTGTGACTTTGAAACTCACATGTGATTCCCACATCTATATAACTTTGTTTTCCACAAGTTTCGAGTTTACGACGAAAACAAATAAAATTCAATATAAGGAATTATATTTCGAAAGCGGTATAAATGTAAATGGGCGTTAGGGGAGGCCTTGTTTTAAATGGATCGTTTAAACAAAGTAAACTTTGTTGGCAACAATGTTGAATGTATATCAGGTGCAAAAACTTCATTCGTATTCAGACGTCGGTGGCGAATTTCCCACGTTGATATTACTTGTACGCGGATAAAGGTTTAATACATAAACAGCAGTGATTGAGCTAAGCTATAAACAATACGCATTTTTCTTGATAATTTTGGAGTGAGTTTGTTAATGATGTCAGTAAGTACCTATTAAGCTAGCTCGTACCACCTTTCGACTGCATCGTCACCTCCTTTAGGTGGGATCGTGGTCAAGCGCTAGCTTAACAAATAATAAAAAAAAAAAAAGTAATCAGAAAGATTGTATTTAGATGTGCGTTTTAAATTACTCGTAATTGTAAAGCAGAAAATAGCGAAGAAAACTACATTTTAAATTTGAAAATTGTAACAAAGTTGACAGTTTTTAGTTGAAAGTTAATTTGGTATTGGAAAAGTTTTTATACTAAGTTAACAATTTTCAATATTTCTTAGAGGAGTTAATAATTGTATAGTTTAAAATAGCTTCGCTATATCTATAAAAAGATCCTTATGTGAAATCTTATTTTATCCAGATTCAATAGGAAATATGTTACCGACTTATCATACAATGTTTTCGCGTTTAATATATCCTAAATGGTAAATTCTTTAATATTACAGAAAATAAATAAAAAACGGGTTTCTTTTTGCATATAAATATTCTTTATCATTTATGTTTTTCATTGCTAATTTTATTTTTATTAACTGATATTATTTAATTTGAACAGCAAACATTTTCCTAAACGTATTAAACAACAAATTTTAATTAGTCAATTTGGGCGAGCAATATCTTGGCAAATTTCGTTTGATATACAGCTTCAATCGACTTTTACAGCGCATGTACGTTTAATATTTGGTATAATGACGTCGTAACGTTTGCGAATCTTTATTAAAATGTTATTTAGAAGTTCATTAGCAATTTATGGAACATTCCACGTTTCAAATTTGATTTTATATTAAGGGCCATACCATAAAAATCTTGGACAATATTTCAAATGCTTTAAATTCAAAATCAGATAAAATTTTCCTAGACCCATATTTACTCAATCAATCAATTTTGTTGCATTTTGGGATCACTCTTCAATTCAAAAGTTATTCGTACTTTAAGTATCAAGAATATTTTCTAAAACTATACCCGAAAGTAGTGAACTGAATGTTTGTAGAAGAGATTTTCGCAAAAGTATCAATAAATTCCGGTTCGAGCGCAATTTCCTGTAAATAATGAAGGTATGGTAATCCTACGGGAGTTGTGCCTTACTTACAGCTAAATTCTCATTTGTATCCTTTGCAGCTTAACGTAAACCTTCGCGGCTAAAGATTTTTTCTTACAAATAGTTTCAGCCCCAGGCTTAGCAATTGAAATAGTGTGTCCAAGTTTCAGTTGCCTTTTAAAAATGTTTGTTTTATTTCATAATTTACATCCTTAATCCAGCAGTTTTCAACGATATATTCATTTTGAAATTTGTCCAGTATTTTTGGAATTCATCATATTTATCCTATTTCGTTGATAAAAAATAATACTATGTTTTTTGTTTCTCTATCTTGGTTCTACGTTTGGTAATGATAATGCAGCGCTTTTATGTTTGTTGATCAGGTCTATATCTGCTTTTTGAGGTACTATTATGAAAAGGTTGAGATTTATTTCCGTTGTAGATATTTAACGTTGTAAAGACTAAGGAAGCATAAGGAAAGGAAAATTATCAAAGGTTAATAGAGTGGATGGTGGACAGGCCGTAATAAAATTACAATCAACACGACAATGCGTTTTAATGGAGGTTCCAAGTGAAAGGAACTTGGAAATTGAATTCCTTAATTGCCCATCCGCAACAGAGAAGACTTTAATGAACCCGACTTTCGGTCATCGACGACGTCTTTCTGGAAATTTCATATTTCTTTTTCCACTTCACCAGAAGCCTCGTGGGAAAAGTTTTTTAATCTTAATCGTGGCCGGGGCTGTCAGGAACCGGAATTGCGTTCAGCCGAAGTGGCAGCCCTAAATATTTTTTATCGCCCTCCCAATAAATCAGCGATCGAAATGTTTGTAATAAAACTGTACTATCGTTACATTAAATATTACAAAACGGAACGCGGTTTCTGTTCCGCGATCAGAATGCCGCTGATATTTACGACTTTTATATTTCCTTTTAATATCTACGAGGCTGTAAGTAAAGGAATTTCACCGCTTAATATTGGAACACGTAAAAGGCATTATTGTAGGTTACAGAATAAATGGTCCCTAACTCGCCTCCCGGTGAAATATGGCGCCAAATATTATCACAGACCCGAAGAAGCTGTAGAAAAAAGGTCGGCAATGGAGTGTGCAGTGAAACTGAAAGGATTTGGCGGGTAAATCCGTTTATTACCGCGGATCCGGAGTCAGAGTGAGCGCCGCCTACTTTTCATTGAAATTCGAGTGGCACATAAAATGGGGCGTAAGTTCCCCTCACTAATGCTAGGACACTCGAGTGTTGCGCCGGAACACGACTTAGGACGTTTTTATGGAGGCCCCATCGCTACGTCTTTAGGATGAATTGAAAGCTGGAATTGCAAATTTGTTGGCCTCCCGCCGACGCCCTCCTAATGTTTATATTCAACGCTGTCCGCAATCGTATAATAACACGATTAGTCTTCCAACTGTAAACGAATAATATTTGAAACAAAAAAAAAATAGATCATAGAGTTTAAAACTCAACATGACCTAGGGCAACGTTGAAATTTGTTATTATAAGACATAATCAAAGTATAATTTGAATCATAAATTATAAA